CAGGGTGATGCTTTGAGATCATGTGAATATTGGGATTCTCAACACCTAAAGATTGCCTATTGATTTCCTTTGCCTCAATCAATTATGACTTTGATGGTTTTCTTTCTCACCTGAATTATTTATTTCATTTCTAGCTTTACTGAGGTAGAATTGGCAAATACAAACCATATATATATATATATTTAAGGTGTACAAAGTGATCCTTTGATATATGCATATGCTGTAATGATGACCAAAATGAAGTCAATTAGCATGATAATATAAAAACACAGCCTCAAAGGAGGTAAGCAATAGTTTATCCTGGAGCCAAATATGAGTAACCATGGCCCAGGAACACAGATTTAGGTTTTAACACAAATTCCTTGCTTCAATGTGGTAATAGTTTCATGAAGGTTTTTATAGTAACAGAATAAGGACCTTTAAACAACCAACACACTTTTCAAATACATCGGTGGGTATATCAGGTAGATGGGGTATAGCAAAGCCAGTACATTTCTACTATAGGCCTCAAATTCAATCTGATGATACTCTTTGCTTTTGGATTGGTGGAAGCTAGGGGTCTGTGCATATATTCCAAAAGGATTTGTCGAATAGTCAAAAGATATTAAGTCATACACAGAGATGGGCAATAAATGGCTATTTTAAGGGGTTAAGATAGCCCAAGATAATTTGATTTTGGACCTCAACATGTTAACTTCTTCACAATCACTGAAATACTAGTCAATCAATTAGCCTTAAGAGAATGTTCAATGTGCGTTTGGCTTCTTTCTAGGAACACGTTAATCACAAACCATGTTTGGCAGTGTGTGTGTGTGTGTGTGTGTGTGTGTGTGATAAGAACTCTACTTTTTCTTTTCATCTGTTATGATGAGACTGTTTAAGAGCTACTCAGCAAATTTCAAGTATACACAGATACATGCAGTGTTATTAACTGTTTCAGGTATAACACAGTATTACCACCTATAGTCACCATGTCATGCTTTAAACCTCCACATTCATCCTGCATAACTGAAATATGGTAGGATTTGATCAACACTGAAAGGAGGTTTATAAACCTCCTGGAAGGCAAGAAGATATTCTAAAGAGACACTTGTGCCCCTTCCCTTTGGTTATCAGACTACTGAGACAATGGACCCCAAGGAATTGGGAATTTCCCCAGGAGTCTCATGCTGGGGAAGGAAAAGGCTGGGACCCTGGGGTCAGCCAGTGGGGGAGCTTGTCTTTCTGGAAGAGATTTCACACAGTTCTGACAACTTGTCAGACCATCTTGCAAGAGAGACTGAAGCTGAAACCATGATGATGGACTGGACCACACCTTGAGCAGAACTGCTTATTTATGGCTGCTGCCCTCGATTTAAACTTAAACCTCATGTCAGTACTCTGAAGATTGTGTGTGTGTGTGTGTGTGTGTGTGTGTGTGTGTGTGTGTGGCAGGTGTGTGTGGCAGGTGTCACCGGACCTTGTTTATCTGTTTCTCTTCCCTGTGTGGCCACACTGAATAAATCTCCTTCCTCTGCTTTTCACTGTTACTTGTCTCTTTAGCTGTTTTACTGAGGACTTGTAGCCTAGTACAGCTTATGGGGTTTCCAGGATCCAGGCTTTGACCCTAAAATCTCTGGTAAGTGCTGGAGTGAGGGTATTTAGAGGAAATGGGGAATTACTGGGAATGGGCAGAGGGTTTCTTTGGGGGTGATGAAACCCTATTGAACTGTACACTTAAAGAGTGATTTTACTGGGCATGGTGGTCCACACTTTAAATCCCAGCACAGAGGTAGAGGCAGGAGGATCTCTGTGAGTTTGAGGTCAGCCTGGTCTACATAGCAGATTCCAGGTCAGCCAGAGCTACATGGTGAGACCCTGTCTCAAAAATAAATAAATAAGGGCTGGAGAAATGGCTCAGCAGTTAAGAGCACTGATTGCTCTTGCAGAAGACCCAGGTTTGAATTCTAGCACCCACATGATGGCTAACATCCATCTGTAAGTTTAGTTCCAGGGAATCCGACACCCTCTTCTGACCTCCTTGGGCACTGCATGACACAGGTGCACATACATACATGCAGGTGTAACACTCATGCACATAAAAAATAAATAAAAGTTCTTTTAAAAATGAATGAATGAATGAATAAATCAATCAATAAATGGTGAATTTTGCCAAGGCTGAGATGGTAGAACAAGCAGGAGGATGAGGAGTTCAAGGTCATTTTCAGCTACATAGAGAGTTCCAGGCCAACCTAGGCTACATGGGGAGACCCTGTCTCAAAAACCTGAAAATGAAACAAAAGGATTACTTTTGACAGACCCAGTGGTTGTGCATGCTTGTAATCTTACTACATGGAAGATGGAGGCAGGAAGATAAAAAGTTATAGTCCAATCTGGGTTACATGAGACCATGTTTCAACAAAAGGTGAATATGGCATATGGATTTTCTCTCTGTGATATCATAATTTGTAATAAATTATATATTATATTATAGTATAGTATATTATAGTATATTATATTATAGTATATTTATTATATCTTTGGCCAATTTCCTGGCACCCAGTTCCTTAAATCCTTGGAATCTCCAAAGTGATGTGTCTTTTTGTATGCTAATAATGACTGCTGGCTGGGGGTTCCTGAATAGCTTCCGGATGGGGGCTGGTTGCCAGGGGAACCAACTTGTGATTTGAAGGGTTTCAAGAAGTATTGTTTATCTATTGGCTAATACGTTTAAGATACTTGTTATTCCAAGAGGGAAGTATTTGTTCATTATCCAACCTTATTTTTTCAGTGCTTTCTAACAAACTCTGTGCTTGGTGTGAAGGCCTTTACTTACCCCTGGCTTCCTGCATCTATGTAGATCCACAACTCAGCCATCCCACATTCCTCAAGCTCGGTTTAAACCCTTCCCAACCTTTCTCCCCAATTCTTTACAAATGAAGAAGCGCTCTTCATTCATTCCAGTCTGTACTCACTTCTTTGTCTGAACATTTATCAGTTTGCCAATTATAGTCGAATCAATCACCGAGTTTAAGCAGCCAAATCATTATTATATACACTAATATATTATTCTGAATCTGTATCAAAATTTTATTGAGTATTCTCATGAGCCAGATAGGAAAACTTGACTTCATAATCTCACTTAAACATCACAACAATCTGTGAAAGACATTTATTCTATCTAGGGATGCTAATTTGCTCAAGGCCACAGTGACTAAATTGGGAATTAAACATAGTTGTAATTCCAAACACTGCACTCTTGAATTTTATTAATGCTGTTTCAATTGCATTGTAGAGCTTTTCTTTCCCTAATTAGATTATTAAGACTAGGAGTGAATGTGGTTGGTCTTTCCCTTACTGAGTAGGAATGGAACTCAGGGCCTCAAGCATTGAAAGCAAGCACTCTACCACTGAGCTATATCCCCAGCCCAAGGATTTTATATTTTGTTTCTTTTGTAGACTCTTGGTTGTTAAACCAGCTATTCTGCAAGTGTATACTTTTTGCCTGTTTGTGGTACTGGGGTGAACTAAGGATGTCATGCATGCCAGCTGGGCAAGTGCTCCACCACTAGCCATTTCCCTAGCCTGATACATATTTATTGAATGTCTAAGAGATTCTTCATCTACCTGAAAATACCAATTACTTCAAAAAACGACTTATAGCTGGGATTTGTGGCACAGGTTTATAATCCCAGCATTTGGGAAATTGAAGTTTTCAGGAATGTTAGTTTAAGGCTAGCCTGGGATACATAGTTCTGGGCAAGATTGGACTACATAGAGAGACTCTCAAAAAGGATTGTGATGCTAGATTCATGGTTACACATTCAAAATGGATCATTAAAGAAAACAATATATTTGAGGCTATCCTTGCCTGCCAAGATGACTTAGTGGAAGAGAAACACACCTTCACAACTCTTGTTGCCCCCTTTATCTTTTGAGAAAGAACTGATGGAGCCACAAGGATCATTTTTAGATTCTTCAAGTCCTCTTCTGCTTTCTAGAAGCTTCTGGCTTAAAAGGGCCTATCTCTTGGCTTGTGCTTCTTTCTGTTTGCTTTGGCTTGTAGCCACACTTCCTCTTTTTTGTGCATTTGAATGAGGTATACCTAGGGAGCCACACTTTACAATTCAACAAGCAACAGGCCTGGTTTTATCACGAGGTTGGCTCAACAATAATTATGATGTGGTGTCACAGCTCAGTTTCAGCTTAGTTATCAGTAAAATAGAATTAAAGGGGTGGGGCTGTAACTCATTGGTAGCGTCTTAGCACTGGGGAGGCCAACAGGATTGATCCCCATCACCACTGTAAGTTTTAAAAGTTTCTCTCCCTCAGTATTTCTGCATTTATAATTTCATATTTAATACTGATAGATACCTGGAAATGCATTACAAATACATCATGGCCTATAAATCTACATGGGATTAATTATCTGTGTACAGGTGGTTTCAAATCGCCTTATACCCTCTCACTGTCTACATTAGAAACATAGTGGATGGTGAGGGCTGAGTGGCAGTCAGATGGCTCTTCATAGTCTTGCATGGTCCTTCCGGAAAATTTTCATTTAGACAAGAAATCTAAGGAAGACAGAGTGAGACAGAAACTGGATGCTATTTGCCCCTCCATCCTTCACACACACGTAATTCCCTTTATCCTTTACTCTTCTCCCCAAAGCCGCCTATTCTAACCAATTTGGCACAAAGGTAGAAAATCCCATGGGGTCTGTGGCCAGGAAGCCTTTTATTGTCCTCTGACTTCCAGAGAGGCAAATGGGAAAAGCTACCCAACCCCCTTTCTCGCTCCCCAGCTCGCCAGGCTTGATGCCCTTTCTCGCTCCCCAGCGCGATAAGCTTGATGTTTATGCGGCTGGGAAGCAGTCTCGGGCGAAACGCTGTCCCTGCTGTAAAGCCGAGAGAGAGAGAGAGAGAGAGAGAGAGAGAGAGAGAGAGAGAGAGAGAGAGAGGAGATATGGGGAGATATGGTCTGAGAAGAAACAGGGAGGGAGGGAGGGAGGGAGACCGCGCGTGAGCATGTGTGTATGTGTATTGTGCTGTGTGTTATGTGTAGGGAGGAGGGTTGGGGGTGGGATCCCATGACGTTACTGGCTCCGCCTCCTGGTGAATATAAGGGATGCTTGACGCGCAAAGACCCCAAGCAGCAGTATTGAAGCCTGAGCGGCGCAAGTCTGCAAGACCCAACCCAACTCGACTGAAGTCAGCCTCGCCGAACCGGATCTGAGAATCCTGGCTCTCTGGGCTTGCCTCAGCTCTTTGGTAAGCTTTCGGGGTCGACACGTGTGTCGGAGGAGGGACGGTGAGGGTCCTCTCATACCTAGGATTCTCAGGCAACCATGGCATGCAGTTGCATCAGCGCGGCTGTGACCTGTTGCTGGCAAGACCCCTGCCCAGGAGCCAGGGCTCCCATCTTCAGCCCAGCTCCAGATCGTTTCTAGATGGGACCGTAAAAATCTAGGCGCTGAGTCGGGGGCCACCGCACGGGACCCCTTATTTGTGGAGAGGCAAGTGCAAGCGATCTTGGGCTGTTCAGGGGCCCCTCTAAGGAGCATCGCCAGATTTCAGATACCGTAGCCCCGCCTCACTGTTGATGCTCTCAGGTCAGCCTAGTGGGGCGGGAGGAAATGGGGGAACGTTGCTTTCTCCCCGGGGCGAAGGAAGGCAGTGCAGTGGAGCGGGGTGGGCTTGGCGAGGAGGGATGAGATTGAGGCAGTGCTCCCTTTTAATCTGTAGTGAGGTCTGTCCCCTCTTTCAGCTGGTCCCGTAGGTAGCCTTACCTCTTTGAATCCCACCCGGTGCGCACTGAAGGGAATGCGGGTATTGGGTACAGAGAAGGGGCTCTCCCAGAGTTGTCATGAGTTGTTCTGCTTAATTCCCAAGGAGTCACAGGCCAGGAAACAGACGCTTTAGGTTTCTGGGATCCTGGGTTGGACTCTAGGATAAATCCCATAGATTCTTGGCTAAAGAAGAAACCTAAGGTTGTCTGAGCAGTGAACTACAGGGGCCTTTTACTTGCGGGTTCTGAAATTAGTCCTTCCCAAAGCCTCCTGCGGTACTCCCTACTTGCATATTGTAATTCACTTGCACATGAAGAAACTGATGTTAGAGGTAAAGTGGCTTGCTTTGTCTTTTCTCTCCACCCCCTTTTGTCCCCCTGAGCTTCTTCCCTTGCTGGAGTGGGTTTTGTAATTCACTTTTAGACCCCATGGATAATGAGCCCTTTTGTCATTTTTTTTTTTTTTTTTTTTTTTTTTTTTTTTAAAAAAAAAAAAAAAAAAAAAAAAAAACATCCTTTTCAGTTGCAACTAGAATGCTGTGGCAGGCACTTCGCAGATTTGGTCAAAAGCTGGTGCGGAGACGGATGTTGGAGCCTGGCATAGGGGAGACCCGCCTTGCCAGATGCCTGAGCACACTAGACTTAGTGGCCCTCGGTGTGGGCAGCACCCTGGGTGCGGGTGTGTATGTCCTGGCTGGTGAGGTGGCCAAAGATAAAGCAGGACCATCCATTGTGATCTGCTTTTTGGTGGCTGCTCTGTCTTCTGTGTTGGCTGGACTGTGCTATGCAGAGTTTGGTGCCCGGGTCCCCGGCTCTGGTTCTGCATATCTCTACAGCTATGTCACTGTGGGCGAACTCTGGGCCTTCACCACCGGCTGGAATCTCATCCTCTCCTATGTCATTGGTGAGTTAGATGGAGGAGGTGGGGCTGAGGGGCACAGCTAGCAAAAGGGCTATGGGCTGGGAGATCTGGGTGAGATGGTGAAGCTGAAATAGTCTTTATTATTCCCAGTATCTCAATATTCCTAGTTGTGTTGGTAGGGATGTGGGAGGGTTGAAGGTATGGGGCAGTTGTTTATTCATCTCTGTCTGGTATTCCTTTATTAAGATACTGGTTTGGATTTTTTAAAAAATTAAGAACAGGAGGTGGGCCTGGTGGTCCACACCTGTAATCACACCACTCAGGAGGCTGAAATAGGAGGATTATGAGTTTATTGAGTTTGAGGCCAACCTGGGCCTAAGCTACACAGGGGGGCCTCCAAAAAAAGGTAAGATGCCTTATAAGGGATCTGTGTGAGGCTGGTGTGGAGGAGGGAAGGAACTTGACCTCATATTTCTCCTGAGTGCTGGGATTACAGTTAAAAAAAATTGCTATACCAGGTACAGCCAGTGTGGCCCGGGCTTGGAGCTCTGCTTTTGACAACCTCATTGGGAACCACATCTCTCAGACTCTGAAAGGGACCATCTCACTGCATGTGCCCCGTGTCCTCGCAGAATACCCAGATTTCTTTGCTATGGGCCTTGTGTTGCTGCTCACTGGTGAGGCAAGGGGCAGGGTGGAATGATGAGGGCTTGGGCTTGGGAAGGGCTTGATGGACGTGGTAATGGTGAGGAGGAAAAGAAGCTGGGAAGGAAGGAGTCTGCCACATAGAGGCAGGAAAACCAAGCTTGAAGGCGAGGCATTCTTTCTCAGTGTCTTGAATGAATTTCTCCCATAGGATTGTTGGCTCTGGGAGCTAGTGAATCGGCTCTGGTTACCAAAGTGTTCACAGGGGTGAACCTTTTGGTTCTTGGGTTTGTCATCATCTCTGGCTTCATTAAGGGAGATTTGCACAACTGGAAGCTCACGGAAGAAGACTATAGTTTGACCATGAATGGACTCAACGACACTTATAGGTTAGAAAGCCACAGAGCTGGGAACATGATGGAGAGGAGGGGGATTTAGGATGGGAGTGGCGAACGACAGGCTGGGCATTCGAGAAAGCTACAGAGTTGGCTGAACATGCCCTTATCCTTTTTCTCTCCCTTCTTCCACTCTAGCTTGGGCCTTTTAGGCTCTGGAGGATTTGTGCCTTTTGGCTTTGAAGGGATTCTCCGTGGTGCTGCTACCTGTTTCTATGCATTTGTTGGTTTCGACTGTATTGCTACCACTGGTAACAGTCATGTCATCCTGTCTGGGCCTTGGGTGCAGTTGTGTGCTCATACAAATTGGGGGTGGTAGAGAAGCAACCCTGCTTCCCTGGTTCAGAACATTTGTGCCATGTGTTTACCCGCAGGGGAAGAGGCTCAGAATCCACAGCGGTCCATCCCCATGGGCATCGTGATCTCACTGTCCATCTGTTTTTTGGCATATTTTGGTGTGTCTTCAGCACTTACCCTCATGATGCCTTACTATCAGCTCCAGCCTGAGAGCCCTTTGCCTGAGGCATTTCTCCATGTTGGCTGGGCTCCTGCCCGCTACCTTGTAGCTGTTGGCTCCCTCTGTGCTCTTTCCACCAGGTCAGTGTTAAATGTTTGTTTTCCTCTGTGACTGGAGTCTCAGAGTATGGCCATTTTGTACCAGAGAGCGCCCCTTAGGAGGGCTGGAAAGGGGAGGTGGAGATGCTCTAACACACAGGCTCAGAACTGATACCTCAGTGAACTTATGTCACTCTGGACATTGCTTTCTCCAGCCTTTTGGGGTCTATGTTCCCCATGCCTCGGGTGATCTACGCCATGGCAGAGGATGGCCTCCTGTTCCGTGTCCTTGCTCGGGTCCACAGTGGCACACATACGCCCATTGTGGCCACTGTGGTCTCTGGTATTATTGCAGGTAAAAATCAAACCAAACCAAAGCCTTTTTGTTGTTTCTCCAACTCCTTTAACTTCACCTTTCCCTTCTCTCACTTCTTGCTCTACCTGCTGATTCAGCATTCATGGCATTCCTCTTTGAACTCACTGATCTTGTGGACCTCATGTCGATTGGGACCCTGCTTGCTTACTCCCTGGTGTCCATTTGTGTTCTCATCCTCAGGTGAGACTTATATTTGTATTTCTGGATGAGGCATTATGGAGACATGATCCTTCCTCTGTTTTCTGTCATCCCGACTTTCCTTGAACAATTTGGGTATCCTGCCTTGCCCAAAAGAGCTTCTACCTTTGTGTATGTGAGTGTGGGGGGTATACACATGGGTGTGAGTGTGTGTGTGTGTGTGTGTGTGTGCACGTGCGCACACACACACACATTTGGGTGTTTCTGCTCGTGTGTGGAGGTCAGAGGTTAGGTGTCCATCCGTATCCCACTCCTCATTATTTTTGGAGACACTATCTCTCACTGAACCTGGAGCTCACTGATTGGCCAGCTTGGAAGGCCAGTGAACTTCAGGAATCCTAGTCCTCCCACATTCCCCAGTACTGGGGTTACAGGATACACAATGCCTGGCTTTTACCTGAATGCTGGAGATCTCAACTCTGGTCCTCCTGCTTATGTGGTACACACTTCACAGGCTGAGTCATCTCCACAGCCTAAGCTTCTACCTTTAATGGTAATGAAGAAAGATGAGAGAAAGATGGTGAATGGTTGAGTTGCTCTCCAAACAGCTTCCTTACTCTTGCCACAGATATCAGCCTGACCAGGAGATGAAGACAGGAGAAGAGGAAATGGAATTGCAGGAGGAGAAGACACTTGAAGCAGAGACACTGACCCTCCAGGCACTATTTTGTCCAGTCAACTCCATCCCTAGCCCCCTTTCTGGCCAAGTTGTTTATGTTTGTTCTTCGCTGCTTGGTGAGCAGTGACTTTTTTTTTGGTGGTAGTGGGGGGGTGGTGGTTCTGAGTTCCATGAAGGGTAGACACGTGTATTTCATGGGTGAGAGAGGTCTAGTGAGAGGGTAACTTTCCTCGGAATGGGATGCCTTATATCTTAGCATATTGATCTCAAGAGTTAGTTTTGATATCTCTTATCTTGATTTTTGAAGCTCTACTACTGACTGTCCTTTGCCTGGTGCTGACCCAGTGGGCAATTCCACCGCTTTCTGGAGACCTGGTGTGGGTCACAGTGGTTGCGCTGATCCTGGTGCTCATTCTTGGAATTGCTGGGGTTATCTGGAGACAGCCACAGAACTGCTCTCCCCTTCACTTTAAGGTAAATGATGTCTCTTTCACCCCACCAACCCATCTCAAGAGAATTAGGCCTTGTAGCTTAATAACATTTACAGATATTCTTTAATTGGACACAAAAGAGAAAGTATCAGAGCTATTTAGGTCAAAGACTTATTTACTGATGCTCCTTAGTTCCTCAAGTTCTATATCTGGGAATCCACCATGTATATGATAAATGAGTGGCCACAGGAATCCAGAGCATGAGTCAGGGTTGAACTCTGCCTGTTCTGCCCTGACTAGGTTGAGGATCTCTTTCTAGGTCACCCTGTGGTATGTACAAAGATTTCTCTTGGTTTTCAGGTTCCTGTCGTGCCTTTACTCCCACTAGTGAGCATCTTCGTGAATGTTTACCTGATGATGCAAATGACAGCTGGTACTTGGGCCCGATTTGGGATCTGGATGCTGATTGGTAGGTGTCTACTTGAATAAGAGTAGCCTCTTAGGTGTCTTATTCCAACCCCTTTTCTTCTTAATCTCCAGCTGGAGACCTATTAAGCCTTAAAAGGCTACTCACTGCCTCCCCACCTCACAACTACCTTTCTCTACTAGGGTTTGCGATCTACTTTGGCTATGGAATCCAGCACAGTGTAGAAGAAGTTAAGAGTCATCGACCCTTACCCAAGACTAGGGCCCAAACTATAGACCTTGATCTCACCAGTTCCTGCATTCACTCCATTTGATGTAATCATACCTGAGTGCTGTCTGGTCTCCCTGCACAATAATGGAGACCCCACAGAAAGCTAGCCCTCCCATGTGATGTTGGGGAGGGATATTAATAGAACTCTGTACTTATTGTGGAGTGATGGATGTGTCTTTGCTGTTTCCCACTTATTTTTTACTTGTTTATTTTGAAATGGTCTCTGTAGTTGCTTCTTGGCTTTGAAAAAAAATTAAAGGAAAATGGGAAAAAAACTCTGTCCTGCTCTTTGCTTGTTAGAGATAATGTAAAAACCTCACTTTAAGGCTAGAGAGCCAAGAGAAGTGTCCTTTGTCTTTTCTGCAGCAACCACAAAACAATCTGCTGTACCTGGGTATGTTTCTGAGCTTGGGTTTGGAGAAGATAGAGAGAGCAGCCTAATCTCACACAATTAAAGAAACAACCATGAGATGTATTTTCCCCTTGTGACACTAAAGATTAGGCCCTGGATAAATACACAGACCACTGTGTTCTATGGGATTTGGGGCTGGACTCTGATCTCAACACTGGCATTGGTTAGGTTCTACACTGAGACCAACCTCTTCTATTCTGCCTCTTCTAGTTGGATCAGTCCCAGATTCCAGTCACTGCCTCGGCAACAGGCCAAGTGTTTGACGATGCTGGGAGGAGGTGGAGGCAATAGAGGGTTTTTGGAAAAGACTATATATGCAAGGGTACTGATTGCTATAGAACAGTAGGGGACTGGAGGTTAGAACTTCACTCAGATTAAAAACTGCATTAATTCATTTATCCAAGAAATGTGTAGAAATCTAGACCCTGTGCTGGGTGCTGGTAATATAAACAGTAAAGCAGTCTCTGCCTTCAAGGAACTTGCAGTCTAATGAGGGAAAGAAGCAGGTAAAATGACTGCAGATCAGTGATTTGACCCAGGGCAGAGGTAAGTGCTGAGTGCTGAGGAAGCACAAAGATCACACTTGGCCCGGAGTCTTGAGTAAGTACTTGAGAAGCAGACTGAAGGGGAGGCCGTGACTGTCAGCAAACAGTATGCAGAAAACAACAGAAGTCTGAAAAAAACAGATTCTTCATAACATGACTAAGTTTTAGTGTAGCTGGAAGGTAGCATGTGCACTGATAAGTATGCATGACCTTGGACACCCCAGAAAGGTATTGAGAACTTATCTTATGGATAGTATGGAAGGGTCTAGAAAGTCACAAAAATTCATAATGGGATGGTGGAATTTTAGTCTGGCAGCAGCAAGGAGGATGACTTGGAAGTAGTTGGGGAAGCTAGAACAGGAAGATCACGGCTACCATTTATTGAATATTTATGACAGTTATTCTGTATAAATCTCATTTTGTTAATAACTTTGAAGTAGATATTATAATTATGCTTTATAGCTTGAGGGAGCCAGATTTAGGTAAATGTGCCCTGGTCACTTAAGTTCAAAAGATCAGGATCAGATGGAAACCCAATTTGCCTGACTGTAGTATATGCTTGTAAGCCACAGCAACGTTGCTAGTAGTAGTTATGGTGGTAGTTATGGTAATCTGACCTATTTCAGGGCTTTTGGTCAATTGGGCATAATTGAAAGAAGTGAGTGCCATAAATCTCTGAGGCAGCTGTCAATATGAGTGAAAAGGAAGAGATTCAAGCAAAAATTAATTCGGTTACAAGTCTCCTGAGGTTATAAACATACATGTGATTTTAATTTCATGTAGGTGATGGTAGTCAACAGTTGAATCTTGGAGCTAGGAAAGAGGTCTAGACCAGGGTTACAGATTTAGGAGTTATCAGTTCAGAGTTTATAGGTGATAGAAGCTTTGTGGAACTAAAGACTGTTGCAGGATAAAACAAAAGAAGAACTAAAGTGCAACAGATGTTGTATAATTTCCTTTCCACATAAGAAACCTTTACAAATCAATAGAAAGATAGATATCCTGATAGAAAGTGTAAATCAGCCGGGCGTGGTGGTGCACGCCTTTAATCTCAGTACTGCCTCTGCCTCCCAATCTCTGTGAGTTCAAGGCCAGCCTGGTCTACATAGTGAGTTCCAGGACAGCTGGGGCTACAGGGAGATCCTGTCTCAAAAAGACCGAAAAAAAAGTGTCCATCAGGGGCTGGAGAGATGGTTCAGTGGTTAAGAACACTGACCTTGCAGAAGACCCAGGTTCGAATCCCAGCACCCACATGGCAGCTAACAACTGCCCATACTCCAGTTCCAGGGGATCCAACAGCCTCTTCTGTCCTCCACGGTCATTGCACGACATGGGTGCACTTACCTACATGCAGGCATAACACCCATACACATAAAATAAAAATAATAAAATATTTAAAAAGTGTAAATCAAAGCAACCATGAAATCTCAGTTCTTACCTTGCAGACCTGCAAAACAAGGACTAGGCATTGACAAAAGTGATGCTAAACTGTCTTGTGCATGATAGGGCTATATGTGATTATATTTCCTGTTGAGAGTGATTTGATATAAGAATTGCAACATCTTTTTTGATTTGACAATTACACTTAGAAGAATCTAAAAAATTTTCATATGTAGGACTGGGGATGTAGCTCATTTGGGAGAGTGGTTGCCTAGTATGCTTGAAACCCTGTTTTTATTTCTCAACACCATGAAAACTGGGCATGGTGGCACATACCTGCACTCCTAATACTCAGGAGGGTAGAGGCAGGAGAATCAAAGTCATCTTCCACTACATAGCAAGTTAAAGACCAGTCTCAGATACATGACACTATCTCAAAAAAATTTACATACATAAGAACATTTAGTGAGACTTTTAGTGCTAAGGATTGAACCCAGGTCTCACATTCTAACCATGTACCGTACCACTGAGCTATGCTTCCAAATCTCATTGAAACATTGATATAAAATTTGGAAACTACTTAGTGTACATTAGGAAGGAACTAGTCAATAAGTTGAAATTCATGAATTCAGCTCAGTGGCATAGTTGTTGCCTAGTGTGCATGAGGCTCCGAATTAGATCCCCAGCACCACAAGGAAAAAAGAAAGATACTGTGATATGGAAAGTTCTTCAGAGTATTCTATTAAGTCAAAATGAAACAAAATGAAACCTGAAGCACAAGAATATTTGCGAAAGAACAAAAGTGGATATATTTACACATAATATTTTTTCTGGAAAATATTTAAGAAGCTATTAACCTCTGATTTGTGTATTTTTTCCATTTATTAAAGCAGGCACAAACATTTCGTTCCTTTTATAATTATCATAGTAAAAGTTTAGGGGGTGTGAAGAGAAAAGTAGGAGGACTCAGTGAAGAAGGTGGAGAAGGAGTGACTGAAAAGAGGTATAGTATGGAATTCTAAAGAGGAAAGAACTTCAAGAAGAGTGCACAATGCCAAATGCTGCCTAGCCATAAATAATTTAGGTCAAAAAAGGGTCCGTTGCCTGTGTCAGTTAGGATGCAATTGCTTAGTCAAGTAGTAGGGGTGGGTTGAGTAAATGGACTGAAGAAGTAGACTGAAGCTAAGGTTAGCGTTTCTGGCAGTAGCTGGAGAGAATTGAAGTTTTTTTGTTTTTTGTTTTTTGTTTTTTTCAGTCTTTTTGAGACAGGGTCTCCCTGTAGCCCCAGCTGTCCTGGAACTCACTATGTAGACCAGGCTTGCCTTGAACTC